AATTGCAGATCTATCTGACGTCACAATGTTGCCTCGGACACAAAACTGAAAAACTTGAAAAGAGACTTACCGCCACTATAGTTTATCTATATACGCAATAAGATTAACGATGCAAATGAGATACTTCATAGAATTTTCTAAACTTTCCATTCTTTGATTCGCAAGAGCTGAATATTCCTTAGTTTAACAAGAACCTTGCTATCTTTAATATAATAAATATAATATATTCAAATATTGTGTGCATTTTATTCTACCATTTCCACAAAAGTGCTCTGAATAAATTATTGGAATTTTGCAAATTTCCCCTACTCTCAATCAGGTCGATTATTACCTTATAGACATATCGCAAAAGTTTGGACTGTTAATTGTTTCGCACCTTCCACTCTTTGTATTGTAAAATAATTCAACTTTAATTGTATTAAGGGAATGAGTTTTCCTTAGTTTATCAAGAACGTTTTTTTCTTTAATATCTCGACTTTCCGTCACTTATGGCTTGTGTACTTGGTATTGGCATGAATCTTCAATCAACAACTGATTTTGATTTTGTTGTAATAGATGCAGCTGTTGTTGTAACTGCTGTTTTGTATCACAAGGCTACGGTGAAAAATGATTCCAAACTTTACAAAAGCTGCAAAACATATTTGCTAGATTTTTCACGAACAGAAACGATCATGCATGAACTATGGTATTCATCAAAAATCTAGTTTTGCCTATAGTTCTTGTTACGATATAAAACGAAACAGCTTTTTTGCTTACAAAGAATTATAAGAACTTGTACCCGTTGATCTTTTGTATCTATTCAAGAAAAAATGCTGTACATGACTTAAACACTTGCGTAGTTCCCGAGGCGGATGTACCTTTTACAAAGATGAACACTTGCCATGGTCAGAAATCTATATTTTTCCTTGTTGCAAAGACTTGGAACAGATTACCTGTAGATGTCAAACTGCCTACCACTTTTAGCATTTCTAAATTTTGGCTGAAGAGCATCTTAGACCAGGCGGAGAATAGGGGAATGGTCGCTAGAGGACGCAATTTATGAGACCAGGTGTTTTTGGCGAATTCGAGGGTGCTGATTTCGGAAATCGATGTTCTACGGGGATTTTGGGGGCCTCGAGATGTGCTTTGATTTCTACGAAATACACGAACCACCTGAAGCATCAAACCACCTTCAAAATCAGAGATTGAGTTTCCATGCAGAATATAAAGCCTTGCGTTTTCTTCACATGGCGGCAGAAGACTGAGATTTATTATCTCTTAACGTCTTTCGAACATCGGCACAAGCAATATGTGTCAGAGAAAATTTACTCAAGATGTGCTTTGATTTCTATGAAATACACGACCACAACTAGAAACATACTTATAGCATGAAAAAGCGTGCTGGCCAAGTAATGCTTTTTTTTCTAGAACACATGATACCATGTCTATTATCTTTCTTTGTTTTCAAGTACCACGAGAATCTTCGTTCCACCCAATTCATTGGACAAGAATATTGTTAGAATGGTTTTGAGAACTTCAACATGATCCTCCGTAACTATCGTACACACAAATTTGTTTGAATTGATCACTGTCCTGCTAAAGAGTTGACTACGATCCTTTATAATTGCAAGCTGAAAAGGTATAAACAATATTTCTTTGCTTCCTTCATTGATATGAAAGCAGTTGAAGTCATATAGCACCTCAATGTTGGGCAGTGGCGGCTCTTGCTAATGGGCATCTGGGGCAATGCCCCCTCAACAAGATTCAAAGGAAATCTATGATATTCATATTTAATTTTGAAGATAGTCTTAATGTGGTTAATTTTATAAGTTTGTATCTCTTCTAGAAAAAGCTCCTTGCTTTCCCGTCTCGTCCTTAGCCTCGCTTCTGGCCCGCTAGTGCCTTGAGCGATGATGCCATTTTACGGGCAAAGTTTTTTTGCCCCTAGCCGACATGCGCACAAGCAAATTTTCGACCTCGAGCATTGCGAAACGCGGCCTGTGATTGGCTTATTTGGAGGAATTCAGGGCAAGAAAAATTTTGCCCCTAAAATGACATCATCGCTAAACAACAACCACATCTATATATGCTTCTTTTTCTGCGCTCCATGACGATCAACATCGAACCATGAATACAGTGAATAATTTGCAAACTCGACCCCTTTCTATCGATTATCGCAATATTGATGGTCTGCCCTCCCAACTTTGAAAGTCACGAGCCGCCACTGATGTTGGGACTCGTTAAGGCGTATAGCTAGCATCCTTTATATGCTGTTGTCCTTGTATTTGTCAAAGACAGTCACAATTTTAGTGCACTGATCTGGAATGGTGGCAGTACAGGTATTTCGGTCTTCATTTGTTTCTTGGTATATGTAGGGCAAACCAAACATTTGGCTGCTGCAAGGTCCAAGTCGTACCTGTTAAATTTCTCCGCAGGTGCTAGTTCATCGGAGCTAATAAGGGTCACTTGTGGCAGTTTCATGCAATTTATCTTTGACAGTCCTTCTGATAGCACCATCTGCTGTGCTGAGAAGCATTGACATAGTTGCAAGTGGATACGATAGAGTTGTCTCGAGATCTACACCTGCTTCGTGCTTGTTCGAGTGTACAACTATAAAGTCAGGAATGTCTCGCTTAAAGCTCTTTTTTATTCCTTTAATGTTCAGCTTATTTTCACTGACGAATCCTTGAAGCTTGCAAAGACCTCCTTTCCAGCTTTTTTTTTAAAAAAAGAAAGTAAGTAGTTTCGAGAGTACTGTAAGTTGGTAAATCCTGCCAACACTGTATGGTGTACCCAAGCTCATTTGGAAGATTTCTCTGAAAGGGGTGGTTTTTCCTCAAACCTAGGACAGGTAAACTTGGAAAAGGGGCACTTTTTGAATCTGCAAACATCACTGAAATAAGGTGCTCTCTACAACCAACCTAGGCCAAGATTACTCTTTGCTGACAACATCTGAAAGATTTTTAGCAAGAGCATCACCTCAATTTGATTCAATACAACATTTGGAAGATAAGGTTTTGTATGTATAAAGGTCATTTGCAACTTATAACAGTAATGTTGGTCGTTTTGTTATACAATGTGTTCCTTTTTCACTTATCGCCATTCTAGAGAAACCTATAAACCTATAAAAACAAGAATCATATGAACTTCAGTATTCTCCAATCAGTACAATTTTAGCCAAAATAGTGCAACAGAATCATAGTGTAGCAGAGCAGGAACTCCTGTTCACTTTCTTCTTTTGTACAAAGTTCATTGTCATTTAGTTCATTATCATTGTATCTCAGTAAAAAGGGTATAGAAAGTTCACATAGAGGTCGGAGGAAAGGGATCTTCCTTTATCTCTGGGATGGGCATGGATACACAACTGATTGAGAGTGGACTAGCCGGGAATGATTAAGCGAGATTTGTCATGTATTTTATAGAAATCAATGCACATCTTAAGTAAATTTTATCTTACACATATTGCTTGTGCAGAAGTTCGAAAGACATTAGGAGATTATAAATCTCAGTCTTCTGCCGCCATGGGAAGAAAACATAAGGCTTTATGTTCTGCATGCAAACTAAATCTTTATGATTTTCAAGGTGGTTTGATGCTTCAGTTGGGCTTCCTAGTAGATAGCTCATGGTTGGGGTGAATGAAGATTCTATGTCAAAATGAAAAAGAGCTTTACCCTTAGAGCGTCGTGTGCAGTGTGGGAACTTTGAAACGATTAAACTAAGTTCAGATGATTCCGTTGTTTTTCATAGTGTCATTTATCAGTTAGTAATTAATAGCCCTGCATAGTTCCTTCGGACGACAATTCAAGAATTAGTCTCAACAAAAATGTATTAAGCTCTTTAGATGTCTTTTTAAGGATAAAAAGTTTTAAATTACGCAATTTTCTCGTGGAAACGAGGCTTTTGGCCCCCCTTAACAGACCATAATTCAATTTTGAGCATTTATGCGAAAGAGATATGCTTAAATAACATTATACACTATATAACATTAAGACTTTTTTCCATTTAAATTGTTTTCTTCATTTATTACTTTCATATAGGCAAAAAAGAGGCTTCAAACATGAAAGAGAGGCTGATGGCCCCCAAAATCCCCGTATAACATCAATTTTCGAAATAAGCAACCTGGAATTGACCAACAGCACTTAGTCCTATAAATTTTGCCCTTGAGTGACCATTCCTCTATTCTCCGCCTGGTACACAAAGCATGGAAAGAAAACAGGACCTCCGACGAAGGGGGGGGTGTGGCCAGGGAGGCCTTGGACCCCCCAACTTTTTTGCAAAACAATAGAGTTTTTTTCAAAATCTTGTGTTATGGGTGTTAAATTTTTCCTTGGCCCCCCCCCCCCCCCCCACTTTTCAATCTTTGTCGGAGCCCATGGAAAAGCGCACTACGAACAATTTATTTGATCTAACGCCGACAACGGTAAGGATGCTTTCTCTCCTTTGTCAAAGACCCAAACCAGAATATTACAAAGAAGGTGATTTTAATAAAATGAATTATTGTTTTGGTCTAATGCTAACAAACGGCCTATATCTACTTTTTCGTCCAAACCTAAGATGAAAAGGTTGCTGTTAGATTAAGGCGCATAGTGTTTTAACTTAGTTTTGTAATGGCAATATTTTGAGTATCAAGGCTCATTTAATTGCAGTTTTAATGCAGAAATCTGCTTAACATAAACTGATATTAACATCCCGTTAAGATCAAAGCAATTTCAAATTCATTTTCCTTGAAATCTGATAATATTTTGGTGAAGCGATTTATCGCTTGTTCTTATTCTTCGGTAACAAAGATCAGTATACCGAGGCCATGTTCTTGCAGAATATGTTTGATTTTGACAATATATCCATATAGTAAATGAGACTTTTAGAAAACCGAGCCGTGATGCACGATCTATTCTGTTCATTTTGTCTTACATTGTTACGTGAAAGAAAAAAAAGAGATAAACTAAACGATGAAGCAACCGATGATAAAATCAAAATATGTATTAAAAGAAAAATCTACAACATTAAATCTGCAATGTTTACACATTATCAGTAATCAGTTTAAAGAAACTTTGCGCTTGTCTTTTGCTTTGTCTCAGGGCTTTCTCGGTTTGTTTGCAGTCATTCTTCTGGCAAATCCTAAAATATTTTATGAGAAGCATAAGATTGGAAGGAATAAACTTACGAACAGAGAGAATAGAATTCAAAGTGAACAAGTGCTGTCTAAGCTGATGTGCTCTTATTTACTGAAAAATATACTCAAGATTTTTTTCTAAACCATTGAATAACAAAAAATTGATTTTCATTTTGCCACGATGATTACGTCACTTCACCTATTTTAAGTTAACTGTCTATACGTCAAAAACATCATGATAAAATCCTTATTAGGATATCCTACGACAACAACAAAAAGATAACAACCTTGCAACACACAGCCTTAGAAAAAGTCATGTGATCATCGCCTTGTGACAACAGCCTTGTGACAACAGCCTTGTGACAACAGCCATGCGACAATGACCTAACGGAAACAGTCTCAAATGCTTTGCCCTTCAAACATAATTAACTACTGTCTTATTGTATCTTTTTGTATCTTACTGTTTGTTATTGTATCCGCCAAATTTTGCAGTTTCTCGAAGAAACACATCAGTTTGTCAACATAGATGATTAGAAACATGTTTTTTCTAAAGTCCAAATTTAAAAACAAAGGATTGTATGTAGCTACAACTTTGCTATCGATGTTCAATGGGTAGTAAAGCAAAATCTGCAGAGTGAATAATTTTACCTTCGACATGCTTCTATCGATGATCTCTTCTCCAGCTTTCTGTCTCTCTTTAATAATTTTCTTCTTTTGAAAATCAACCGTGTGCTCCATTTTAGCCTGGCTACCCTTTGGACCAGGAGCAGCATAAGGACGTTTTCCTCTTTGCTTCTCATTTTCAGCAGCCAAAAGTTTGTATGTCTTGACGATCATTTCTTTCCAAAATGGATGAACCTTTTCTCCTCTTGAAACTGCTTGCAAAGCTTTGAGCACTTCATCCGCCCGTATTACGCCTGCAGGTTTTGATCAAAGTCACATTATGAATCATCAACAAATGACCCACGCTCAGTTGAAAGGCAAATCATGCACTTTCATTAAAAAACAATATCAAATATAGACCTATAAACCTAATGATGGCTGAAACATTGTTCTTATCAAGCAATGCGATAAAGTGATAAAACTGGCTGACATAACAGTAATCTATTAGCAGAATGAAGGTCTTTCATCGGTGCTCATTTTTCATCAACTTGCAATGGGCTTAACCGAAGCTCCTAGTGTTAAGACAAGATGTCAAAATTTAAAACTATAAGTTCATAACGTCATCTCTAGAACACTGAATCCTCAAAAAAGAAAAATGAAATTTAATAATGATCGCACATATAGACTTACTCAGCACTGTTTTTCCATCTTCCATTTTGTTCTTTCTATCGTTACTGGCAAAAGACGTATGTTCTGCAACTAGCTTCAATTGCTTTGGTATGATGACGTTAGAAATATCATCTTTCATCGTAATAGTTCTATATTTGTCATTTTTTTCGGATCGTTTGGATACAGTTGTACCAGGAACCTTTGTGTTTTCAAATGTCACCATCGGGTCAGCCGTCTTATCGACATAGTCACCTTTGTTAGTAATTATAGAGAAATTCGATGAGCCGGCGACACAATAATCATCATCGTGTGCCTCAAGTTTTATTGCATTTGTCGAAACCACATGAGATGCCTTTTCATTGCGTCGCAAATCTGATGAAACAGTATGAGCAGAAGGTTTCTGGGACGTCTTTGTGACTGGAATCTCAGCATTGTTTATATTCTCGGCTGTCGTTGAGATGTTTGAACTGAATGAGTCAACAGTGATCTTCCTTTCTTCCGCCTCTTCTTTCCGTGCATTTTCTTGAACATCTTCGTAAAAACATTTGTCATTGTTCACAGAGACATTTGTCCCCATCTCCGTTTCAGTTGAAATTTGGACAGGTTCTAATCCTTCAACTTCGATATTTGTTGTGCTGATTGCTAGTGGTCCCACCTGCAATAAAAATCCTCTACTAGCTGGAAGAAATGCCACTTCGTTTGAAATGTTTGAGATTCTTGCTTGACAAACATCACTGGATATGTTTTCCTCTTCCTTCGGTGCTAGATAACGAGGGGAAACATCGACAGCCAAACAACTTTCATTGCCTTGAGTGTTTGTTGTTGTTCGTACAACAAGTGGAAACTTCAATTGTTGCGTTCTGGGTGGTTCTTTGGTTGTAATGTTGAGAGATGCACATCTCTCTCCATCCATTGAGCCATATAGCGGGCACACTTGTGCTTTGGGCTTAAATGGAGCTAGAGGATCTTGTCTAACGTCACTTGGGCAGGCTTCCAAAATCAGTTTTTGCTGGTTTAGATTTGAATAAGCATCTTCATTTGCCTCTAGCCGGATTGAGCAAATGGCACATCCAACAGACATACTCCCTACCGTACCATTATTCTCTCTGTTTGTTTTTATCTCGTATATTTCACTCTTGAATTTCTCTTTTCTTACACTTGGCGTTGACCTTGTACTGCATTCATTCTTTCTCGGAACGATTGGTCTTACTACTTCAAGGTTCTCTAAAACCAAAAGTGGTAATGGCATCGGACGGTACGCTGGCACCGACGTTACTCTTTCTTTTGCTTTGCCCAGCGAGAATCTTTTGTTTTGCACCTTGCTATTCTCAGAAACCATTTCGTTTACAGGTTTGGCGTCATTGGGATAAGGACTTCCTACAAAAGTAATTCATATAATTGTAAATTTGAAAGATAGCAAAAATTTTACTCTTTAAAATGGCAGAAGAGGCAACCCTCGTATGCACTATACAGTTTATGCGAATACACTGAAGAGAAATTCTTCGTCTAAGCGAGTTTGTAAATAGGTTTTCCTTACAAGCACTAATTTCTACGCCAGGAATTTAAGATGATGAAATAAATTGAAATATGGTTGCCAAAGAGTATTTTGACAAAATGAATGGCGAAGCAATGTGGTAATTTGGCTTGTGGTGCACAAAATAATCGATTTCCTATTCAAGGTGATAATTAACCATGTTTTTGCCAGTTTCCTTGCAAATAAAACTTGAAAAGCATTAATTGCCCTAATATTTAGATATCTGTTCAAATGTTTTTGTTTTTCTTTGACAGCATTAGTATTTAGTGTAAACGGCCCTATCTTTGTTCTTTCTCCGCTGTCAGAAAAAGCCAACAGTTCCGGCAGTCTAGCCCTAACTTTTGTTCTATCATTTTCCGATTTCAATATTGAATGATTACCTTTGTCTTTTTCCATTGCTGTCATTGAGGCTTGTGTGATGGAAAAAGGTGGAATGCTTAATGAATTTTCTTCCTGCTTTTTCTCATTTTTTGGTTCTCTGTGTGTTTTGTCCTCTTCGTGTTCCCCTGGCACTTCAAACGCTCTGAAGTCAAAGACGAATCGCACAAGATTGATTTCTTTGGATGCACTACGGAGCTGCCTCGTAGATACTTGCTTTGCGTTGATGTGCTCTCTAACCACGTGTTTAAGTCCCTCAATTGCCTTTTGAGCCTTTGCAGCAGCCCTACCAAGTTTGGACAAAGTACTTTTCTTCATTCGGTAAATTTTGTCTCTTGCTGCCTCCAGATAATGAATGATGTCTTTGCTCTCGCGAAACCATATTGGATCAATCTCTTTTCCGTTATTCGTGTCTCTATTGCCCATAGAATGTCTCATCTTATTGTTTACTTCTTTACCTAAAATAGCAAATAAATGAAAATGTATGCGAGCACCACAACAACAGAGTACAAAAGCATCCTAAAATCCCTTCTTTGTGAGGTCTCTTTTGAAGCATTTTCGTTTATGATTAACTTGTTCTAGAAAAGTCGGTATCACCTTAAATTTTTTAATCTGGGAGATTGGAAAAGAGAAATTTTCTTTATGTATAGTGCAAAAGAAATAAAGAAACACAATGTTTACATGTTTTATTGCCAGCAAAGATATCTGTAATTTTCCTTGGCGATTGTTAGAGAAAAAGGAGGCTACAGCAGGGATTCATAGCATTTTTAAGAATGAACTCAGGAGTGGTATTGAGCTCTTGTCTCAGACATGCAAAACACTGCTACCGCGATTTGGCAACTTGAAGGCTTTCCTGAAAATCCCTCAAAACATTCAGGCATATATTTTTGAAACTTTAACATTTATATTACTACCTAAATTTTTAAGTGCACGATAATCAATTTTCAAGAAAAAAATTTTCTTTTTTTGCTATAAAGTGTTTAAGAACTGAAGACTAATGGCAAATTTTAACCTTGTTATTGCAGATTCAGAAGCCTGTTCTGATATAATTTACCTTGGTTTTGCCTTCCTTCAACACCGTTAGGCTTTTGTGTCACCAAACTTCCTGTTGTTTTCTCGCCATGGATACAAGAATTGAGAACAGTTGTCACTTTCGTTCGTGCTTTTGACTTTTTAAACGTCATTTTCAACTTTGAACGATTCCCCTGGTCTTTTCCTATTCTTTTCATTGAAGCTTGTGTGTGTGTGTGGTAGGAATGCTGAATGACTTTTCTTGGTGTTTCTTGTCGTTTTTTGCTTCTCCCTTGTTTTCGTCCTCTTCGTATTCTCCTGGCACTTCATATGCCCTGAAGTCAAACACGAATCGCACAAGATTGATTTCTTTTGATGCCTCGCGGAGCTGCCTCGTCTTTACTTGCTTTGAGTTGATGTGCTCTCTAACCACGTGCTGAAGTCCTTCAATTGCTTTCTGTGCTTTTGCAGCAGCTCTAGCAAGATTGGACAAGGTCTTTCCCTTTATTCGGAACATTTCGTCTCTTGCTGCCTCCAAAAGAAGAATTACATCTTTCCTCTCATGATGTCTTATCTTGTCCCTGTGATTTCTCTTTCTGCTGCTTACAGTTTTGCCTAAAAATAACAAATAAGATTGGGATTTTAAATAAGATTTTTGTCCAATAAAAATTTTTTTTCAAAACTTCTATATGCACAGTCAATGTCGCTCCTCTTTCTGAGTTTAGCAAAGCAAAGATGGAAAGTTGTTTAGTTAGCTGATTTTAATGACAAACTTGGTCTTTTAGATGTAATATTAAGAAATATGAGTAATTTCCTCCATTTGTTAAGGGATTTTTGCATCGTAGGTTAAGTTTTGATCAAATCATTTGGCTCAAAATGAAGAATATAGCGTTAATAGCTATTGCTCAACATTCCTCATTGAAATCGTTATTTAAATTACAATCTTCATTTGCCTTACCATTATTTGCAGAATTTTCACAGCCAATGTCGTCTTCAATTTTCATATCGAGTTTTGCCTTTCTGCTTTTATCCATAAATTTCGAACTTCCCCGAGATTTCACCGCCCTTCTTATCTTTCCTCTGCGATGACTTCTCTTCTTACTACGTAGCAAGTGTCCCGATCCCAAATCAGATTTTTTCTCAGAATGACTTTCATTTTTGCGATGCAAATTCTTTGGCTTTGAATTTTGCTGCGCGGATTCCACTTTCTTCACCAATTCTGTAATGTAATTCCAAGCAAATTTTTTAAATTCAAATCCAATTTGAAATCCGGTCATAAGAATGTTAAAACTTGTATAAAAGTTCAAATTGATTGAATATGGGTAATAGTGATAATCTATTTCAAAATACCTGTAGAAAGACTTTGCTTTTCTTCTTCGACGGTAGAATCAGATTTTTCTTCGTTCTTTATCACCTTGTTTCTCGAATCCTCTTCATTTCCAAAAATAAACCAGAAAATCCAGTAATCTTTGTTCTTTCTTCTTTCTTTTCCATTTCTTTGCTGCCTTTCATTACGTTTTCTCCGTTTCATCTGCATCATCTGTGCTTCAGAGATGACCTTGTTCCTAAAAACCCTGGCCTTTTTTCCGTTTTTCAGCAAGGCATCAATTCTCTGCTGCCCAAATTCATTCACTTCAATCGGAGGACGGAAAATCTGACTCGTAAAATCCTCGAATGTGTTATACATTCTTTCTCCAATGGACATCAATGCAGTTCTTCTTTTTGGCTCACACATTGTCTGGTTTGGTTTTGCTGCAAAAAAAGAAACAACGCTAAATGCTGCTATTGATACGTATGAACAAAAAAATTAGCTTCTCCAAAACCTTGCATTTAGTTAGAGTTCTAGATTGTTTCAGTTTCCTGAAGAACGCATGCAGGTATTGATAAGGCAGTAACAAACAACTGAAAGAGCTAATGAAAATGTTACCTTCAATTGATAAGATGCTATATCCAGATTCAAAGACAGTCTGTCCAAGCAGGGATGGTCCTATTCCCTAAAAAAAAGGAAAGTGATATTAAAAACATTAACTTGCTAGAAGCTTCACTAGACTCAAGCCTATGTCTAGAGTTGTCAAGTTGAAGGGAAGTCATCAATGAAAAGCTTGAGTCTCAGTCTAGCATTTCAAATCACCTTTGATTTATCACCAAAATACTTATCATCACTTACAAATATAAAAGAATATATTTCTATGTCAATGATCATCTTCTTGTTCATAGTAAAATAAACCATTATGAAGTAGAATGAAAAGCGAGTGTATCATAGATAATCTTGGAAACTTACCTTTGCTGGATTGTCAATGCTTAAATGTATCAAACTCATTATGCTACTTGCAATTAGCAAGTAAAACGAGAGAACTGACACTAACATGCCGAAGATCGAAAAAACACAATCTTGCGATCTTTCTCAAATAAACAATACCGCCTCGTAAATCGTTAACAACGAATATTACGACTTTCCAACACTTGTCGAATTTGCTGTGCAAACCTTCAAGCGAACTTAAGAAGAGTTGTTCGCAATCATTGCTGATCACTATTTATACACCGTTCATCTATTTGACGTCAAAATCAAACGTTGATTACGAATAGGCAGCAATCGGTGAACAATTACAGATCTATCTGACGTCACAATATTGCCTCGGACACAACTAAAAAACTTGAAAAGAGACTTCTCGGAAGTGTAGTTTACATATATGTGTAATCAGATTTTTAGATCAATGTGAATTGATACATTCTCATAAAATTTGATCAATAAATTCAAGAGAATTTTCCTGCTCGTTCCTACTTGTCACTCTCTAGGAAAATTACTTTACTTATATTTTTTGAAATAGCAGTTTGAAAACAATTTTTGATTAATTTGAGACTTATCTAGGTTTATCAAAAATTCAAGTAGACAGGAATGTATAAAGTGTATGGTTTATATTTATTTTCGGCTGAGAATTATCTTTCGCTGAAAAGTTTAGTTCTTTAAATTTTCATGTCTATTAAAATTATAACATCACAGCTGAATCATAATAAATTGTTTATCTTGAAGTTTTTGTAACCATCCGCCAAATTAGTTTGCTCGTATTTTCAAACTAAAGTCGGGCTTACGACATGCATTACTTTTTTAGTTTGCCAAGAAACCAGAAATTGGTCCTGTCTCTTTTTTCACTAAGCAAGTTGTTTCAACTTTGCCTTTTTTATATGAACTTTTTTCTTGACTTGAAGCTTGCGTGTTTATCACTCATTAACACACTATTTTCTGTTCTCTTCCAAAGTGTGCAATCTTTCAAATTCTTTTCATCGTTTGCCAACAATTGACTCTTTCATAAACATTTTTAATTTTATAGGGCAATGCCTTTATCATATCCTATTCAATACCATACAGTCATGCGTAAGGAAAAACTAAATTGTTCTGTAGAAAAATTTTCAAGACGATGCAGCAACCCCTGTGGAAGTGTCGTTGCACATTTGCATTCTATTAAATTGATGCTATGGCAATAGTTGTAAAAAGTAAACGCTCTCCCCCAAAACTCGTCGTTTCTCTCTCTGCTTCCCAGGCTCTTGTCATAAATGTAAATTGTTGAGTGTCGTACATTATCAAATGACAATACCACCTTGAATTGAATTTTGAAACTAAAGAAAGAAGAGCAAGTTATACGATATATCTTGATGGTAGAAATCGATCCGCCTATCTAAGTGTGTCTTCTATTTATCAATTAATCAAATATTTAATTTAGGGACTATAACGAGTACATAGAACAATTATATCCGTAACCTTAGAGGGTTGTATTATCAGTATGCAACGTATTCTCCACCCCCTCCCACCATCTCTCCTTCGCCTCCGCAGCGACTGTCAATATTCGTAACTGGCATTGCAGAACCGTTTTACATGAGGTACATCAGAGTTGTGAAATACACAAAAAAGATGTGCAACGCGTCCATTTTAAAATGGCGGACCAAAATAATGGAGTTGTTAATCAACCAAGTACCCAACAGCAGCAAACAAACCCATTGTCAAGAAAACTAAATAAGATTCTGGAAACTAGACTCGAAAGTGATAAGGTAATTGAACTAAAATATTTATCCAGTAACATAACAGTCTGCAATTTTGACAGTTTTTGCCCTTCCGTGAAGGGCGAAGACTTGTTACACTTGTTCGTTTTTAATTTCCTGTAATTATCTAATTTTCCACTCCATTAGGTTGTGTGCTTTGAGAAATTAGACACATTTCTACCGCTGCACAATGCAGTTACTGTTTATATTTGGAATAGGTTGCTGAATTTTGGATTCTTCTTTCTTTTGAAAAGGTGGAATTTTGACAGGTCATAATTTAAAAAGTTAGTAAGGAAATTGCATTAGTAAAGAAATTATCCTCAAAATTACTTTAGACGGTACCTCAGTCAGCTTGTTTTCAATATGTTCTTATTAACTGATCAATTTTTAAGCTCATATTTATAAAATTGCTCTTACAAAAAATTAAGAAACGCAAGTCTTCTGATTTCTTTCTTGACTCTTTTCACAAACAAGAGGACACCTTTTCATAACACCTCATATGCAAAATTTTAGTAATAGACTTGTGAAACACAATTTTGTGTACTAGATCATTTCAACTTTGCTGAAATGTGTTGTGAAAGTAACTTGTTTACAAATTTTAAAATCAGTTTTGATGAGAACCATTTATGAATTCTCTTGATTCTCAAATTAAAGACTTGACTAATGAATAGAGTCAAGAAATCCTGTTTTATAAAAATAGTAAGAATTCTAATCCTTTCATCAGATGCTTGAAGTTCACTTTTGGAAGACCAAGAACTCTGTTAACATCAAGGACTGAGCATACCATGATAATGAATTCAATCAAAACAGGTTTCAACTCTGAAAAGGTGTTGGTAAAAATCGCAAGAAAAATAAGCAAACACAATGCCAAATAAAATTAAAATTCATGACCTTTATCAATAATTTTCATAGATCAGCTTGAGTATTTCTTAAGTATTTCTTAGAGACTTAACCAAACAGCTTTTTTTAAAATGTAAAATTTGAAGCTGTGGCCACAAGTTAGTGATGAATAACCACAGATGTACTTTAAGAATTACCATTTTGAATATGGCACCTGGAGATACAGTAATATGATTACTCTAGGAAATTGGCATTCTCACACAGGTATCTTCTCAAGTGCAGATCCAATGCAGATGTACTGGCTTTAGTTCTCAGGCTTTTTTGTTCAGGCTTTTTCATAAGCAAAAACCCACATGAGTGGCCCAGCTCTTGTATGATTTCTCTTGGCTGATTTCTTTCAGATAATCAACAATCAGATATGATGAAAGTCAATAATGCTAAAGTGTCTATATTTTTTTTAAAAACCAGAAAATTCCTATTTTAAGATACTTTAGTATAGGGTAACATCAAGTGAAAAATAATGTTACCTTGATCTTTAATGCACTCCAAAAAAGATTAGATACCCTTAATGAATGTGCCTCTTAATTAATTTTCATGAACACCACAAGGAGCATTATTTTAGGATGATTGCGAAATGTTGTACCAAGCCTTTGATGTCTCCAAAGTGCCCATGGTATCCCTAAACACTCACAGTGGATTTGATATTCAACTGCATTTTTCTGTCAAAATCTGGTAAATTCAGTTTACTTTTGTTTCTGGTGTTTTGATACACTGGTTTTGTATCATCTATTTAACTTGCTTGGATGAAAAAGGATGACTTGGTTTATTATTTACAATTTACGGTTTTGCTCAGGTCAAAGGCTGGCTTGTTGATACAGCACCACCAGTTCGGTTATATTTTCTAAGCCTGAAAAGCAACTATGCTATGTTTTAGATCTTTACTGATACAGTGAAGATGATGAAATGTCATTGAAATATTTGTTTGAATTTTCTAGGAACTAGTTGAAGCATTAAAAGCATTATCAGTATTTTTCAATGAAAATACTTTAAGAACTCGAAGAAACTTGAGGAGTTATGTTGAAAGAAGAAGTCTTGCGACCAATGAGCAATTTGAAAGCCAATTCAGACATGTCAAAGAGGTGTTTGTCAATTTTTTCCTTTCTTACTCCTTCATTTAATGTAGAGCGCCCAGTATGATCTATGTAGAGGTAACCACTATCATGTTTGTGGCAACATAGCATCATTTAGAATTATTATGAGGTAAATAATCTTTATCAATGTTGATTCAAAATTTCTTTGGTATCTTTCACATCCATCATATGGACTTTCCCCAATTAGTTATTACCTACCATATTGTTAATTCCTTCCTTTTCATTGATATCCTTACATGCACAACAGTGATTCAAAAGTAAAGAACCTAAGAATTGAGCAAAATAACAAATGTTTTGCACCAGCTACTTCTTCAAGTTTTTTAAGTTTTGTTTTGGGCTTCACCAATATTTCCAATTTTCCGATAGCAACTAGATGCCATAACTGCTGACATAAAAGAAATGGATTGTTGTTGCAAAGAAATGACAAGCAGACTTCAGGTTAGCAACACTTTATTTAAGAATCAAATCCATTATAATTATAGAATAATGCAAAAGAATTATCATAGTACTTAACAATTTGATATTTTGATGGGCCGAGTGAGTTGTGGTTTAAATAGAAATTGAATTAGGTTGTGTTTGTCTTATCCAATTTAAATGGCTACAGTGTACTCACTTACTCATTTAGGGTGAGAAGAGCTGCCATCTCTCTGTACTTTCAGTCCAGGCATAAGAATGACAAGATGTGCTCACAAAAGGAAGGACCAGAGGACACTTTAATGAAGTTCATATAGCATATCCAATATCCTCAAAATGACTTTCAGATGATTGGTCAAAACGAATAAAAGTTCAATCACAACTTATACTAACTCAATATAATCAAAATTGTTTTTATTCTTCACAAGAGGTTTTGCTGTCCAAATTTGACCAATCCATATTAAATTTACTGTAATCGTTTTTAAAGACATGTGTGTCTTGTATGTCTTTAGACATCAAAAGATATGACATCCGATCTGATTGGAAAAACAACAAAACTGCAACATGAAAGGTATGTTGTGCTCTATTTAATTCAGGTGGCATACCATATTTCCTAATGAATGCCGCCATCAGATAAACGCGGCCTTCAGACAAATGCTGCTCTCCATTAAAGGCTGCATATTTAGTCTTTTGTAAACTTTTAAACAATTTTCACAAAACCTTTATCACATGTTTTTGGGAAAGAAAAACATTGTTTAAATTATGTTTGTAGCTGTTTTATCACACTTTTCTTGTCTTTTTCAATTAACACCCTTTTCATTTTGTATTAAATGCTGCCCTCCGATAGGCACCAACCTCTATTAAACGCTGCTTCCAAATTGTGGATTTTGTAATAAACATCGTGGCATTCTTTAGAGGAAATAGGGTAAATTATATTGAAATCTAATTACACAAATATTCGAATTTTGGTTCATTTCACACTTGTCTGTCAATCACGCAAACTTTGGAGTCTTGAACTTTCTTTGTACTTTCTTTGCGTAAACTTAACAAGGGAAGTCACAGCAAGGCTTTTAGTTGGCACCCCTTTGTTAAAAAAGTTAGATATTTCGTTACATTCTGAAAAGTATTGACCAGAAAGTTTGTGTACTCCGATCGTTTTGCATGCTAAATTCCACCATTTGTTTTGGTTCCCTATTGTTTAAAGGCTTGGGTTTATTTTTGCATTAAGCAAAATTGTATCACCTTTTTGTACCCAGACCGTTTTGAATGTTGATTTCAACCATTCGTTTTGGTTTCCGGTTGTTAAAATGCTTGGTTACATGTTTTTATAACCAAAATTGTCATGTGTTTTTGTACTCGAACCATTTAGAGGTGTGGATCTAGCAACAATTTTGACTGGTTTCGGAGTGCTTTCCCCTGTTACCTCTCTCGTAGTGGCGTAGATAGAAAAATTCATTGGAAGGGGAAGGGGGAGGGGCAGAAATCTTGATTTCCCCTCCAAAATCTATAAGCTTTCTTATCTTTTCATAAATTTGGACATAGCATTTCTGCATTAGAACAGAAAAAAACAGAAGATAAAACTTTTATCATTTATTCTATGGCAAGTGTTATAAATTTCCCTACTTGAAGATTTGCTGGACTTCTCCTCAAAAAAATGCTCATTTAAATACAAACTGAAAAATGCTGCGAGTCTTAAAAATAGCCACCGGTTTCAATATTTGACCATAGATAGCAATTTCTTGGATACTTTGGGATAAAAGGTAAATAAGGGAGTCTGAATCTCTTAATCAATGGAGAGGTGTTCTCACAAAATTGAGAAATTCTATTCTTTTAGATACTACTTCTCTATAATTTCACGCCCTTCTTTCATTGTGTTTGTGTGGGGGGTTTATTTTTTTATGAAAACAAAGGGACTGTGGTCTGTCAGAGAGAAATGAGGCAATAGTTGCAATTGGAATTTTAGATACCAATCCAAGATTCGCAGATAATATAGCTCTGAGAACTTGACCAGCTTTCTGAAACCTGAGCAACCGGCCTAGATTCGCGCCTGGTTCACGAGGTTACTGAAACGCATATGACAGCGGCACCAGATTATTGAAAAAAGGCGATCTGGATTATCCAGTTTACTGGATATCCCAATGCTTTATGGATGTCCCTGGAGCACCCTTATACTTTTTTGAAGCCAGTTTGAAAATTTAATTGCAGGAAAAAAGTTGAGATGCAAGCAAAGATTGCAGACGCATTTTTGGAGAAGTTTCAGTTGAAGCAGGAGGAAATCAAAGTATTGCGAGGAAGTCGTGGTGTGAACATAACAGAGGTATATCTAATTTATCTGCATTCTGAATAGTGATTAAAATTAAACATGCTAGTCTCTGTAATTGATTATACTTATTGTCTAGAACTCTGCTTATAGAGCATGGCTTTCTTCTGATATTGTTGTTTTTGTACTCTTTTTGGTTTCCCAAATTTTTGCATCGACACAGTAAAATTGGACGATGAAGCAAAAAGCTTTGAAAGTGATACCTGGAATAGTTTAAAGAAAATCATAGACAGTAAAAGTTTAGTTTAAAAGCAGCAAAAAAAGATGTTGTTGAATAAAGATCTTCCCCTGGGCACTTGAAAATGTTTACAAGGGATCTTGTTACAATCAAACCTTATTTTATATATTTGCTGCGCCCATAACGTGCTAACTAAACTGCACCTAATGCAGCTAAAATGTTCCAACATCAATGCATTTTCCTTTGTACCAGAGTAGTTAAATACATTCTTGAAACAGCATCCTTGAATTCATTTATACTGCTGTTGTAAATTTTCTCAACTTTGTTCCAGGAATTCTTTAAAGCTCTTGCACGAGCCAAGCAAATTCACCAAGACTGCAAGCTTCTCTTACGCTCAAAGCAGCAAAGAGCAGGGTGAGATATTTACACGTGGACATTTAATCTGTTGTCTGTAGAAAGAATTGTAAGAAGGATCACAGCAAAAGGCATTTGTTAAAAAGTTTTGTTTAAAACGGTGCCAATACAAATTTGTCTTGAAGAAATCAGTTTTTAATCTATAAAGGGGTGGTGTGCAATTGCCTTTACTGGTTATACTCATGTGTACCAATGGGATGATATTTGCCTTGAAGTTAGGTTGCAGTTTGGTCATTTTTGGCTTTACCTGAAGTATTGGCATGCTAGTGCAATGCAGCGACTTCCTGTCCAATTTGCTCGTGAAACTTAGTTTCATTGATCAATCTAGAGAACTGATCACCACCAAGCAAATACACTAGCACGATATAGGACAGGTATCTAACAAAGTTTCCACAATAGCGAGAAAGTCTAGGAGGCGACTTCCCATTTTATGCAAGCTATTTCAGACAACAGTTCGGAATTTTGCAAGACGCCCGTAAGGTTTCTGTTATGCACACTTTCTGTTTCATTTGTTGTCTGCAATGTCGTATAGAATTAGTGAATCCAAGTATCTTTTACTAAAGGGGTGATGACTTTTTCTAGTCCTTTGCACATTGGTACTTGAGCTGGTGTCACCACCATCTCATCCTGCTATAACCCCCACAAAGAGTACTAAACCCATAGGTGAAGCTAGTCTTACTCCCTTTTATGGCCGAGTTCGACATGTGACCCAACGCAAAAGAGGTCAGACAACTGAACACTACATCAACCTTTCAACAGAAGCTCTATGCATATTCTCTCCTTTTTAACTCTTCAATCTTTTTTTCAGACTTGAAATCATGGAGACTATGGCACTTTATCAAGAAACGGCTTATGAAAAACTTTACCGATGGACTCAAGGTACACTATCTAGCAATGATTGTTTGTTTATTTTTCCTTGTTTTCTATTTCAATTTTCTATGCAAATATGAATGATGATGACCAATCGGCTTACGTTTTTGGGCCATTTTTCTGTTTGATTTCAAAGCATAATCCATAGCGTTAAATTTTATAGATGAATGCAGAGGCATGACGAATGACTCTCCTGATATCACTGGTGCTTTGTGTCGTGCCATGGAAGCATTGCAGGATAGGCCTGTTCTCTTCAAGTACACACTGGATGAGCTTGGTGGGGCAAGACGGTCTGCGGTCGTCAGATGCTTCATCGATGCGCTGACTCGAGGAGGTCTGGAGAGATTCATATTTCTTTGAATTTTCAAGTTTTTGCAAAGGGGAATGTTTTTAAGAATAGTATTGAAATTGATCTGCTGTTTGTATTTTACTAGAGCTCGTATCGTATCGCTGTTAAGGCATCAATCAGCCACTGATATTAAAAGCTTACTGTAGTACCATTGTTATGCTTCCACTAATTCAAACAGAAGGTTCAGCCACGCAATATTTGATTAAGTTAGAAAGCTCAAACGAAATGTGATTTTTCAAGTGTGCCAAATTATTATGCAAGCGAGACTGTCTTTTCTGTACGAAACGGCTGGATGCTATTTGAGGTTTTCACTAGAATTTAAGCTTTTGTTTTTCTGGAGCGTTGGGCGAAATTTGCTTCAGTTTTGCCTACTTTCTCTTACTTTATCTCGTTATTTTGAAATGTTGGAGTGTGAGAGATTCTTTGGCTCAAAATTTAATTGTGGTGTAGAGAATCCATTTGTTAGAATTCAGAACTGGATACAAATGTTAAGTTGTAAGCTGTTATTATCAGCCTCGTTTATATTAGGAGACTATTGGATAATATTTTCTTGTTTTGCAGGACCTGGAGGAACGCCAAGACCAATAGAACTACACTCGCACGACCCAATAAGGTCAGCATGTTTTGGTTTTGCTTGACGTGTCGTTACTTCAGCTAAGTGTAAAGGGACAAGCGCAGAGAATTTTCCTAGCTTACTGTTCTAGCGACCTTTTCACTTAAGTCTCCGTTACTTGCTTTGGCTCTCAAATTACAGGACTTCATTTTTGAGTTACCAATGTTAACAAATTTAGCGAAAGCTATTCAGTCAATCCAACAGAGACTGTATCCTTATGGCGTTAAAGGGTGTGGTTTTGATGTACAACGGGCCTTCAAAGGGCCTAGCTTAAGAAAAATGGGCTTAGTTTCGAGGTAGAATGGCTAGGGGAAGTGTTGTATATTGATGTAGAATGGATAATGATTTGAGGATATGTGGCTTTGGTTTTTTGTACGAATCTTTCACAAAGTTGTTATTCTTATTTAACTGTAGATATGTTGGCGATATGTTAGGCTGGCTGCATCAAAGTATTGCTAGCGAGAAAGAGCTGCTGCATAGTTTGTTACGGAGGACAAAGCCAGAAGGTAGTTGTTGCCTCGTGGTCGATAAATCCTTATGTGAAGAGTGATGGCAACGATATCGAATTCTCATAGCAACGATAAAATATGTCCAGGCCTCTAAAATTTTCGAACAAATTTGTTTTAGAGAAACCTGTATTCTTCCTTTTCCACGAACGTGTATTATTCCACCCACTTGGTAATATTTTCTTGTTTGCTATTTTGTAAAATCTTTAACTCTAGTAAATAGTGGTAAACTGTAGCTAAGCAAAAAATTATTGTTATTTTTTGAGAATATAAAAAGCAAAAAGATTCCGTAGATAAGTTGGTCATTTTATTAAAATATTTCGATATCGATAGTTGATCATTTATTTATTAATTTTCTTTAAAATCAGTTTTGGAAATAACTTTTTTGAAACATGTTTTTCAGCAGATAAAGAATCATCAATGAAAGAGGTTTTGAATCATATTACCGAAGGCGTTTCGCGACCTTTCAAGGTATTCTTTGCAGTTGAATTGATGATGCTGTTACAGTTCAATGTGTTCTTTCATAGCTTTGCTTACAAAGTTAGTTTTATTCCCATCAGGCATGTGATATGTGCCCTTCCTTAAGCTTGATGTTTGAATCTTTAAGAACAGTAACAAATTTGTCCATTTTTGGCAGCTTGTCAGATATGTCATTTTAAAAATAATTATATCCTTCATCGAAGACTTCAAGGCTCTAAGATTGCTCCTTGAAGGAACTCAACGATTTTCTATTCCAGCGCATTTTTACTCCTTGATACTTTATTACCTGAAATATAACTTTCATCCAACCAACGTCCAATCTCCAATCAGGAATAAGGACCACGTGATATTGACAAGTCGCATTTAACACCCGAATCATATAAGAGCATGGATTCTTTCGATTACAAACAAACATGGATATGCAAATTTCTTCGCCTTGAGAACTTGCTAAAGAAAATTAGGATATATCAAAGGCGTTTTCCTCTTTTATTAAACAAGAAACTAGTATAATCTTATTTAAATATCGAAATCTTCAGAATCACACCCTGTAATGCTTATATTTAGTGTTTTTGATAAACTTCGTCTTAGTCGCCGTTGTGTTGATGTCTCTAACGATAATCTTGTAGGTTAGAGTTGAGCAAGTTATTACGTCAGAGCCAGATGCACCTGTCCTTTTTAAGCTGGGAAATTTGCTCAAGTTTTACAATGCTTTAATCTGGTGAGCTTATACTTTCTAATGTCATATTATCAGGTGATATTATTTTTTCTTGAATCTTTGTCATTGCTTCCTTTTCTGTGATTATCTTTTAAGTCGCTTGATACTTTAATATAATTACCTTAATCCCTCTTCTGAAAAATTGAAGACAATATAATTTCTTGTGTGCAGGCTCTGTGAAATGTAAATCCGATAGTTTTGAGTCAAATAGCAATTCAGAGCCTTTCTTGACTTGTGAGGGTTTTTTGAGGATAATGTTTATATGTGCTTCAACAAAGAAAATGTGCTTTGGTAGTTCTTTGGGCAATGTTCTTGTTTTCCATTTGGGGAAGAATGCGTACTATACGATGTTTTTTGGTGACATTTTGCTATCAAATGTTCAGTTTCGTTTAGTTTATGTCTCTTTTCGATCAATCATTCCTAAATTTTTGAAATGTGAGTCAAGAACGCCAGAACGACCAAGGGGCAAGGGGGCAAGCTGGAGTAAAAGGGCATTAAGCACTACAGTCAGGATTTCATATAAATCTCTTTGATTTCTAAAGGCCGACGTAAAGGATACTTCTATGAAAGGGGCACTTAAGCCCCCCTTGCCACTCCTATCAAAAGGCAACAGGGGCATTTGACGGGCATCCGAAGGTAGTTTTAGGACACTTAGAGGCTATTCTTGTCAAGCAGTTCCCTCCTTCTCTAGATATGACCACATCTCGTGATTCCTACGCAAAGAATTATAGAAAAATATTTCCAGGTTGATCCGTTTTATTCTTTGAAGGAGTCTTTCATTCCCACCGTGACTTACCAATAGCGATCCATTCTATCCTTTGACGATGAATTCGATGATTTCTAGCGATCTGTCCTGTGACGTTGAAAGACCACTACTATTTCTTTTCTTATACAATGTGATATGTCTAAGTAAGTTTAACTAGATACACATTTATGCATAATTATAATCTCAAAAAGTGGCATTCTCCCAGCTTCATAAAAGACATTATTGATATACTCGGCTCTCCCACTGAGCCTTGAAACCATCGTAGACACACGATCAAAGATCGTGAGAAAGGCCAGTTGACTGGCTCGATCATTTAACAATCTTTTGTAGCAAGCATTTACAAGCTATGTAGCAGAACAATAACTACACTGGCCATATCAAACCAGATCTGAAATTCACTTTATAACATCAATATAATAGCGCCATTTTTCTTTCTAGCCCAGTCCTTGGTGGTGAATCAATCGTGATTGAGACACTTCACGAGATGTCAGAACTATGCCAAAGAATGTTCTACAACAGCTTGAGCTCATGGGGCAACAAACTCTCTGAAAAGGTAACAGATATAATTTCTTGATTTCGCGTTATTGGGTCTTCATATTTTAAAAAGATGGATCGTAGAAATGGAATTTTCATGTGGCAATTAGTCTCTTCCGCCAACTTCATGTTGTTTTGACTGTCAGGACAGGAATCGCGCCATTTCAAAGTTTAGCTTCTTCTATACATTTCATTGGATTTTTCCGTTGCATAATGTATAGGACAAATGACCATATTACAGATATTAATTTCCCTAGACCATTATTGCTGCATTAATAGCTCGACCTTCTACTTAACATTGGAAGAAACACTAACAAAATAAGGCTTTGTTGACATGAGCTGGTCCAACTTTTTTAATAAAACCAGCCTTACTTTTACTTTTTGTGGTACCCTGAAATTATTTTTGCCCTCTTTATACAGACTTAAAGACCGATACTACTTCAGTATTTTTGTTTACCTGATCGCCCGTTGTGAAACTCCAGATCTCATTAATTCCCCTCCACCAAGGCGAGCAAAATTCAATCTCTGCGACCAAAGTGATCTCAAAATACGAATGCTCGTACGCTGACAAAGAGATTGGAGTGGATATCGGCCTTGAGATCTCCTGTTAACTATATTGCTAAGCAATGCTTAAGTTGATATCATTCAAAACTGTTTAAAATGTTTGCCTTTATTTATTTGTTTCTCTGCAGATAGAGCTTCCGCCATCAGACCTTGGGCCTAGCGTGTCTGTCCAAGAGACATTGAGTCTCCTCAGAGAAGTTCTCTCGAGCCATGATGCTGCTATTACGTCTTTGGAGGAAAGGCAAAAGGATTATGATAAGGTAGAAATGCTTTGAATGTACCTAGAGATGTTCTTGAGAAATAGAACGTTTTAGTCTGTTTATTGGTGACTTGCGTCAGAAATGAGTTTTTTTTTCAATAGCAGAAATTGGTCTTTAAAATGCAGTATGGTAAATAGAATTGAAAATTTGGACAAATCGAAACCTTTATGGATATTTAAAAATGGCTTTAAAAAAAGCAAACACTTTATATCAAGTCTGCGTTTTTAAAGCCATTTTTAAATTCTGTACCACGTAAAGATTGTTTATGAATTATTTCTTAAATCAGTGAAAGTTCTCAGAAGCACTATGAATTTAGAGAATAATTTGCCAAAAGTTTTTAAATAGCAAAGAATCGGAAGATGGTCTCGACAAAGGTGGCTGAACGAACTGAGTAGAAAATTTTCAAAATATTTGCAAAAAATCTTTTAATGTAGGTCACCAAAATGCATCAAACGGTGATAACCTTGATGTTGTGGTTTGAAGAGAAGCGACACTTTTCATGCTCAGTAAAAAATAGGGTTGGTACAGAGCGGTACGGGACGGGATGAGGTAGGGCTTGGAGTAGTTGGGCGTGGCTAGGCAGGGCTGGAAGTGCCATTCGAGGGAAAGTAAAGTCTACTCGCAAGCAAATTTGTTTACCCAAGGATATTTTGACACCAACCCTAGCTTTTGTCCCTGTTATTTACGTTCCTGAAAATAGAATAAAATTTGATAAGAAGAGTTGGTCATATGGCCTTCTTTTGTACATCCACCTTGAAACTTTTATGTCTCATTAAATATTATCCAAATACCAGTCTTAACAGCATACGGTCAAACTCTTCTTTAATATGTAAGCATTGATATCCTCATATCTGAATGCGATCCTAAGTATTGTTTGCAGTCGTGGATCGTAAGTGTCGAGACAGTTGAGCTTTTCCAATCGTAACGACTGTCCTGATTTAAAAGAAACAATCGTGGCAGACGATCGACGATTATTGCAGCCCTTTTCTTTTGTTTCCTCTTTATCACGTGAGCCCAATCAGCCAATTAGATGATCATTCTTTCCGGATCTGTCCACTTTTCGCATTCGAAAAGATGGTGGTATTGAATAACATAAACTGTTGCTGATCGCTTTACTTTTAAGTAGAAACCAGGCTTTAAAAGAGTGCCTTCAACAAATATATTCTAAGAAAGGTTAAAGTAAACCAACGAGGTGATAGAATTCGCTAGAGGGATAACTCTGTAGGAAGGCAGTGAAGCATTGTACGGCAAGAAGTGATTCTCAGTGTATCGCGTTCTGTTTCATCTCGTTGCTTTTGGTTGAAAGAATTGACAGGCTGATAACAAAAAACAGTCTTCTAACAGGGTTGGAAGTAAGACGGATGCCTCCAGTATTTCTACGGACATAAGTGGTGATGGGTCAATTTTACTTCACCCGTTCGTTCACAATTAGGCCTATCCTTACCATTAGGTTCTTAAATATTGTCGCTTTTCTTTAAAATTCACCGATTTCTCCTTAAATTTTATTTCTTTGGTACTTGCTAGATTCCTTCTAGTTTCATGACCGATGCCTTGCAAGGTGATCACTTGATACACATCGTCAAAAACATCTGCTTCAAATATTTTACTGTTTGTATGCGAAAGTACGCAAAAAATAATAAAAGGACAGGTCATAAATAAGAACAAATCAATTATTCACCATCAGATCAATAAACTCGTTTTGTTTAAAAATGTTTAGGGACTGCTAAAAAAAAGGTTTAGATCCTCCAAAACAACGATCGGTACCATCACTGTTAATGTCCATATTTTACTTTACTTTCCCATTTTCCTTAAAATCCAATTATTTCCGTTCTTAGATGTATCAGACTTTCCAGTTTAATCACTCTTAACTTAATTTTTGCCTGAATGCTTTGCTAAATATCGCACGTTTTATACAAGTGCTTGTACGTCACTTCTCCGTTTTTGCCGTGCAAATGAAATTGCTCCCGGCTTCACTTCCTGTGATCAGAACTGCCTCGAGTAGACCCTCTAGCGTATTCTATTCACCTCTTTGTAGCATAGTCAATAGAAAAAACTATGATTGTAGTAAACCCATTCAGTAGATCCTAGTTGCTGTTGTTGTAAATTCTTGCTGTTGTTGTTGTAGATACTTTCCGTGGTGCTGGACCCGTTACTGCAGGCTTGCGCAGTATCTGCAAGTCGATTGAACTCTACTGACATGGCCACATACATGGTCAACTGCCTCTATCAAATTCAGTCCACACTTTCGGTCTTTGAGTTCACAGATATTAAGATTGAGATGCTGGCGGGTCAGGTAGTTATCGATTTTTACTTCTGGAATATATATTAAAGACATTGAGTCATGGTAAATAGGCCTTCTCTATAGAGGGTCATTTGGTTTCGGCGTGATCGCTGCTGTTTCATGTGATATTTGCATCTGTTGTTGACAACTTGCTTTTGATGGAAATTGTTTTGTTAATCAGTACGAGGTGAGTTCATGTGACCAGTTCCAGGCCAACCAATAGCATTGCCCAAGCCATTCCATTTTATCATGACTCAATGCTTTTAAGAAAGTAAATTATAATTTTCATTTTGAGTCTTTTTTAACGAGTTGTTGTAGTGTATAGTTTCTTTAATAGTTTTTTTCAACGCTAGACTCATTCTATATTTTTAGTGATAGGGAAAGCTTAATCGACACCACTGGTGTACAATACTATAACAACATAATCATAATGCTTTGGAACTCCGTTAGCCTAGTGACAACATGCTACTTCTTGCCCCTTGTGTAAAAATATTAGGCAAAGGGAATCCAATGTCAGTTCGACTCAGCGAATGTTCAAATAATCGGGGGTTCGAGTTATCGGGAGTTTACTGTAGCTGCAAAATACAGTTGTTGATTTAAAGTTAAGACTGTGTTTTCATTTTGAACCACAGATTGAGGCCCATTCAGACACACTGCTAAGCGAACAAGCATCGTTCATACTCAACAGGTCGGGCCTAGGACGAGTTTACTCAGTGATAAGAGACAATCCGAAGGATTCTGGAGTAAGTTTGATCTCTCTTGGTACCAAAGTTTGTTTCAAAGTTGGATGACATAACTTTTAGCTACACTTTTCAGAAATGTCTGGCGAATATTTTCCAATAACTTTGGGATGGGGGAATTGCTCCTGAAATATTGCTTAAATGCAAAAAATATTTTTTCATCTATGTGCAAATGTTTTTTTTAAAATTCTATCAAACAAATTTACACATGACGCTAATAGAGACATTTTATAACAATGAAATTTGAATCATTTGACACATCACATACTCAGCTCCTTTTAAATATCGTATTTGCCAATAATGTTTGATCTCAGAATAGATTGCTAAATGATCTAAAACAGGTAACAATTAGTTCTTTTAAACGGTAACTTTGTGAATTTTATACTCATTCAAAATTTCTCCCTCAACGGATTAGCAAAACTGAAGTTACTACTGAATTTTAGTCTAACAATCCTAAGCGATGAAGCCTTCTTTTTTCACTGCAGGTCGTCTTGTCCACTTTACCTGGCCTCGACCCTGGAGGTATCAAAGCAGCTATGGTATGTAAACTATAATCTTGCTAATCGACTTCGCTTTATTCAAAACTAGTGGTAAGCAAAATGCATCGCGAACCCCAGACCGTATCAAAAATGTGGCATGATTATAGTTTTATCTGTATCAATATGTATTGTATATGTATTCGTTGAGTTTTCATGGATCAGAAGATCTCAACTCAAACGTCCAACAAAATTAGTTACGCCGTAAAGCGGACCAAAATATCGTACAGTTTTTGTTTCAATTAAGAAATTGTCTGATGACCGCATTAAGCATAAACCTTCGTGTGGCACCAAAAAATGGCGCTGAAAATTTTGAAAAATGAGAGTATGTTGTTTTCTGAAAAATATTAAACTAAAATCAAGTAAAACACGAGGAGACGTAAACTTTCGATTGTGTTCAACATTTATTAGAGTATGCAGCTCCATGACGACTTTTGCTTTTGTAAATAATGGCACCCGCTTCAGTTTTAACCTTATATAATATTTATCATAATATAAATCCAACATAATGTTGCCGGCACTGTGCTTTTCACCCAGTTTGAGCAATTGGTCTCAGCAAGCGAGGAGACTGTCTATGTCTGTTGTGATTCGAATCAGTTTAGAAGCTTAGTTATGTTCTATCCAGCTCAACTCCCCTTTCCTGCAGCATTGGTCAAACACCTTAACTTCGTAATTTTTTCATTTATTACGCTGTCGTTTCCTGGTAAATTGAACTTAACTCCTCTCTGATGTTAAGTCGAGTAAAAAGTTCTCGTTGAAGAGCCGACATGATCTCTTTTCGAAATATTTAGTTTGAAAAAGAGCCTCGTCATTCTTTATGTCGTGTGTAAGGATTTTATGTTGAATTTCATTTAATTTAAGGGTGATTCTGAAGTTTCTAATATGATTTCAGTTTGTTTCTTTCAATCGACTGATGAAATATACGGATCACACGACAACATCCTTCCAGCGTAGGCCCGATTGCTAAATTATTAATAACCCGCCATTTTGTTCACAGATAAAAAGCATTGTAAAGTTTTATGCAATCTGAAGCTCATCTGTCGCAGTGTGGTGTTTTTAATTTCAACCGACGTCGTTCCTTTTCATAATTCAAAGCCAGCAATTAGGCAGAAATTTTGTCAGAAACCCTAGATAAAATCCGAGAGTATGCGAGAGTAACCATGAACATTGGCAAGTATCTAAGAAAAAAGGGAAATTTGGCATACAAGTTGTATTTTGAGACTGATTTTGAGCATAAAAACTCATCTTCAAGTTTAAAGCAATTGGTTGCATGTGAAGAAACATGTAACGTTTACACTCAACGTTTATGCGAGCCCGAGTTCGCTGCAACCTGCCTTAGAGGGTCACCCCGTCTACGGTGAAATCAAAAGTTTATGTAACAGTTTGGTTTTTATGTTGAATCAATTAAGAAATTTTTCCATTCCTGCCTGTGTTAGTGAACGTCTTTCTATGGCAATGTGTTTTCTGTCAACATGCATTGTGACGTTCGTATTGTCCTGTTAATTAGCTTCCGTTTATGTTATTAGTGTGTCTTGATCAGGTTTTAAGTTAGTCTTTCTGTTTTATCATTAGAGAAAACATCAAAGAACATCTCTAGCCCTTTGGCCTAGTCCGCTTGCTCACTAACAATTTTGTTAATTAACCGTCCTAAGAAGAACCCTTATCGTAACTTTTAAATGTAACGATAAGAGTTCTTCTTAGGACGGTGAATAACCAGCTCTTTAGTGGAGCGATAGGCTCTGCCAAAAGGCCTAGGCCCCGTATAAGTGACACAGAAAAGATATTCTTCGATGTTTTCTCTAATGATAGAACATCTGTCTGTCCCCTGAATGATTGGCTAATATGAATAGTAGCTTGTCTCGCCTTAACGGATTACGCTACTTGCTTTGGCTGGCCTAGCTGCGGCAGTGGACGACATTTGAAACTGGCAGCAAAAAGGATATCGGAAGTGGCAAGAAGATTTGATTACTTGAATTGAATGATGATAATGGAAGCATTTCTTTTTCCTGTTGAATTATCTGTTGCACAGACAAAACAGGGAACCAAATTTTACTAGCCACAGCTTCACTTCAACGGGAACACAGCCATTTTATTCAATGGCTCTGGAGTCAAAGTTGTCTCTGATTGGTTTAAATCGTCTAATTATCAATCAAGCTCAACGGTGCCTAAAGTTCACTCCCGTGAAATAAAGTTGAGTACAATAGGAGGCAGACTGTCTTTAACACGCAACGGAAACATTTCTTAATTGATTAAATTAAAAAGCCAAACTGTTACGTTTACATGATAGCAGCAGCCAATCCGGTTCAATCCACATTTCCGGGTAACACTTCTCAATGGTAAGGTTGATCCATTGAGATGGGTAACCTTCTTCTGAAGTCGCGTTCAGCAAAATCCGGGATCGTTTACACATTTATTTATAACGTCTATAAACATTTCGAAGTAACAAATTCGGGGTCATTTTTACACTTAAGCTAACAAGTTAAGCTGACCCGGTTTAGGTCAACCATCGTAAGGAACCTGCTGAGCCAGGCTCGTGTAAACATAATTTTTTTACTGATGCGTGTTCACCTGACCTGGAGTAGAATCTACCCAGGAAATGTGTAAACGGAGCCTTAGTCGAATTGTTCTGACGCATTTTTAAGGAGCCGTAACCAGTCAAATGACATTAGGTGGTGTGTCAGTATTGGTAACAGCCGGTTCTTGAAAGAAATTTTTGAAAATTTTCAATTATGAGGGGTTAGCGGTCGATGATTTTTCAAAGAAAGAAAGCACCCTTTTTCTTTTAATTTAATTTTAATACATTCATGAAAGGACTATTTTCAATTTTTAAAGTCAATTGCCTTACAAAGCTGCCCTGTTAAAAATTAGAATTTCCATAGCTACTTTCAATAAAGAATAGCAAACAAAATATGGCGTCATTACAAAGAAACCAGAAAGCGATGGTTCTCAAATTAAAGTATTATATGCGCTTTTTTTATAAGAACCAGTAAATTTAAGTTCAGGCTGACTGTTCTTAACTTTTTCGAAAATCTGAGGCTGGTTTGTTCTTGATTTGTTCTTAAATTAAGAGGGTGTAAGCAGTGCCATTTCTAGCTTTTTCGCTCTAGGGAGATGTTCAGGCCTCATTTGCCAACAAAGTGAGTGAGACAGCCTTAATTTGCTGAAAAATTTGAATATTCACCGAAAAAGCACCCACACATCGCTAATAATCCTCGATTTTGAGAAAAAACGTTGTTCAAAATTGCATTTTGCAGAAGCTCAGCCTCAGCTTGTTCTTAAGTTGTTCCTAACTTTTGACCAGTTTTGAGGCACGTGTTCTTATAAAATTGTTCTTATAAAAAAAGAGTGTGCGTTGACTTGTAGGCATGAGAGACCCGGTGACTCCAGGACCTAAGTTCATTTTTTTTATTGTCTTTTAAGTTCCTTAAAAACTTTTGGCCGTCTTCACTTCATAATTACGTCAAGTCATATCATAATTACGCCGATCTGTATGCAAAGCTTTTTGATCGAAGTTTTCATAAAAGTAATGCATGCGTTTCTACAAGTAGTTGGTTGTTATTGGTAGGTCGTTTCAGGCAGTTTATTGAATGTAGATGTAATGTGCAAAATTACACGGGCATTTGTATTTTTATACATAATATTCAATGTATCTGAATTAATTAAACCCGTGACCGTAGTCTACCCAAGCTGTTGTATTCTGGGTACAGCAGGCATATTTTATGGTGCATTGGTCACGATTCTGGTTACACGGTTTGGGAGCTTTCGTAATTTACTTAGGTCTGTGATTCAATAGATGCTCCAAACATGACAGCAGTATCGAAATATGATTCATTGTGTAACTTGCGATATGCACATACAGGCACCGCGGAACGTTGAGAAACGTGGGGGGTCTGAAAAAAGTGGGGAGGCTAAAACCGTATAAAAAGAGGCTTTTCTGTTTACTTAATAATACTTAATATTTGGCATCTTTTGCAAAAAGAAGGGGGGCTAAAGCCCCACCTGCTCCTCGGTGCCTGACATAGATACCGTATCCTCTCTTATATTCCCTGCTTCGCTAATATTCCTACCTCTCTAATAATCCCGCTTTTTTGTATACTTTGAGAAATTAATCCCGTCTCTCCGATAGTTCCGCATGCGGGTTTGATGAAAGAAAGAGCCAATGTATTGAAATGTTCTTGGAGTTTTTTTTTAATGATTTTGAAACATTCATCGTAGTGTCTTGTCGCTTTCATTTGATAACAGCATGATTTCCTAGTATCATTCCTTCATGACTTTGTCGAACCCTTTTCTATTGATGATGCTCATTGTTTTTCTTGCAGATTGAATTCGATAAATATCTTGCCAACCCGGACAGCTTGGTTATGCCTCAGTGCCATCTGATCAGAAGCACAAGAATTAGGTTTGGCTATTTCCGTAATTATTCCATTAATTGTAGCTTGCGTTCCAAGGCAAATAGAAAGTTTTTAGTACTGATTTCCACGTTTTAAGGAACATACAAAACTGAGTTACGTATTTGAATGTATCCTGAAGGGGTCCTTTTCACAAAATTCTCTATTCTCTTATGAATTGGAATCCATTCAGTGACTAGTAGAGGAAATCCAAAAATATGCAATATAAAATGTGTAAGAAGGAAGAAATGCAGGATATGCTGTCCGCCGGATTCTGTGAATCTTGCAATGCGTAATAATGCGAAAAATAGTCAATACGACGACGAGAACCCAATGTGGTGAACAAGATTTAATAAAAGCTAATATATCGCCTCGGCATACAGGGCTTCATCAGAGTAAATGTAACGAACGAGTAGATGAATTTTTATTTTATATGTATGTGTTATAAAACCCGTATGTTGTAAAGATTTTTATGTGAATCAAATGTTACTTGCAAATTTTTGCAACTTAGAACCATCCTGTTTTAAACACCACACCGTGTACAGCTCAGCTTTACGGCATCTAGCACTTAAAGAATGAGCGTAATTTATTCAAATTTTCACTTCAAAATTTAACCAAACCTAGTAAGCAATTTTTTAACCTTTTCTTATTATCACCAATAGATATCTCTCAAGTATTTTACCTGTGATGCCTGTCACTCTATCCCTGTGGCTGTTTTGTTTGTAGAATTGATAAAAAAAGAATTGTTTGTCTTTTCATAGGGACACAGTTTACAAAAAGGCCATCGACCTCGTTTGCCTGGCGTTCAATTCAGTTCATTCTGCTATAAGCGACCCACGGAACAAATATGACAGCCCACAATCGTTACTGCTGCGATCACCTGATCAGGTTTTGACACTTCTAATGTGAGGTGAATTCCATTACATCATAATCTCTGACCCTTTAAGGTTATCCGGAGTTGCCCAGAATCTGTATAGAAGCCGGTAATGCGAATTTAATGCGGTTAGAGCAACTACCTGTCAAGGGAAAAGAAAACATTTCTAATTGATAATTTCGGATATTATGATTAACCTATATGTGTTTTTCTGTATTATTATAATGCTATTTGTTCTGGAGGGATTGGAGCGACATTTCAAGATGATTGAGCCTGTTGATTATTAATTTTACACTGCTACCAGTCATTTTGAATCCACGTCCATAGACTATACTGCCATATAGCTTGCCTTGATTTTACTCGACAGTATTAATTTGACTTGATTTGACTGATAATAAACTTAGACCCTAATGATGAAATGTTTCTGTTAAAAAGAAACTTTCTGAGGCCTCAGTTTAAAAAGTTGGTTTCTTATATTCGGGTACTTACTGTAATATTCTGACTTTTGATACTCTGAAGAATATCAGACGCAAAGCTTTAATATATTTCAAAACCATTTTGTGGCATTATTCTTTCTTCCATTATTGGATGCCGGAATTGAGGGTGCATTTTCAATGAATTTGTTTATTAAGTAAATAACATATCAAACGTAATTTTAAAACTTCCACAGCTATACTGAATCAGCTTAACCTAACAAACATCTGTTGCAATATAAGTTTCAATAACTTCTCAGATGCAATTTAACTTTGTGGCCCATCGTGCTATTTTGTGTTTCTGCTTTTGGTCAATTTTTAAGGCCTTCGAACATTAAAGCACGATGATGATACTGAAAACGATAGGTTGCTTGGGACAGCTGACCCCAAAGAAAAAGAATATCTATGTGGATCGAAGAATAAGACTTTCCCAAAGTCTATGTTTGTTATACTACTACTGCGAGGGCAAATTTTAATTGCGGCGCAAATAGAGGTCTACTTAGAGATAACTGAGGTTTGCCCTCACAATAGTACGACTGCCTTACGGGTTTGACAATAATAGACTATGGAAAAGCCAAACGTAGAATTTAAAACTGGGATTTTTTGTCTTGGTTCCTGGAACTACCGGCTCCAACAGGCCATCGAAAAACTTTGTTCAGTCCCTTTTTGGATCGAAAAAGCAAAGAAATCATCGGGAAAGAATGGGTTTTAACATCGTAAGGCTACGTCTAGATTTTTTACACGCAAAGAATATTGATTTGGATCTTGACCTTGGTCACGTGTAATTGAATGCAAGCTTGGCGGATTTCGCTAGCGAATTTCCAGGTGAATCTCGTTAGAAACCACGGAATCGTTGATTTTGATAATCTTTGTCCATTGAAAACTTACAAATTCTTTTTTCACGAGGTTTTCACTGCTGGGTTCTAATCTGCTGAAGTCGTTGTTGTCATTCGTTCTTGCCAAACGATCGACTTTTTTTTCTTTTCCAAGATTTAAATGAATAAAGAGCAGCTGCTTTTTTGAACACGGATGAAGCGTCGAACACGATCTCTACAAACCAGTTACTAAACTTTGCTTAAGTAGCTAGATATTTTTGTTAATTTTTTATTAGAAGTTCTTAGATGATAAAATAGTTGATAATATGAAAAAAATATGAAAATATCAAATTATCAGATGTTAATATAAAAAATGTGCTAAAAAAATTGATAACGTAGGAATGTATTTGTAAAGAAGTAAGAGGTCTTTTTTAAAACTGCATACGTTTAGACGTTCGACTGCCATGCCTGAGCTCCGGGCTCGATCCCGGCTCGCGGACGGCCCTCAGTTCACTCAGCTGAAACTGAGTACCTAGTTGAAACATGCTAGGGAGGTAAAAGCGGCGTGGAAAGGAACTGGTCACCCTATCACACAATGCCGTGGTCTTGGACGATGCGCTCTATTTGCTTTCCTCAAAATTCCACTTTTATCTTTTGATTTCCTTGATGCAAGTTTCCTAGACATGGAATTTTAATAAAATCATGCATGGCTTGGTCTTTCTGATTTGTCAACGTTCTAGCTTAACGGTGAACTTCTTTCACTTTATACTTAATCGCAGCTACTTCATGGTTGGATGTCTTCCTCCGGCTCACAGCCGTGGACCCGTCATGTTTTCTGGACTCTGGTAATAGGTTAATCCTTCTAGAGAGTTTGAATTTTTTTTCAGGTGAACCAAACCCCTTGAAAATCTTGTGAGAATAACAGTGGCTGAAACCCTGTAACAAACTTTAACAAAAATCAGGTTGGCTAAGAAATACAATATCGTTGATAGGAGGCTAAGAAATACGTTTTCGTTGATTGGTGGTTATTTGGTCAACAAGGCTAATCAAATGAGCTCTTATTACTTCTTAAACTCTGTGCATATGTTCCAACAACACTATTGTGGATCAATGACGTCATCAATTTATAAATCAGCTACTATATTTTACATTCGTATCGTCTAGTATGCCTTTAAAATGTTTCAGGGGAAGATCTTTGGAGATTTATTCTTAAAAAACATGCTCTGGGATTATAAAGCCTTGTGACTGACCATAGTTACGTTTCAAACAACGTCAGATCAACCAGGGGTAAAATAACAAAGTTTTGCAGCTGATGCGGTTCGTTTTAAGTCCTCAGAAGCTGCCCTTTACCAACAATTTATAAAGGCGCTTCCAAAGTGATTCGATTTGCGAAAATAAAGGTTTTTAACATAGATAAGAAAGATCGTCACAAAAATTCAGTTTCCAGTTGGGCCTATGGCGACGAACAAATCTAACCCACTGCAAATATCTCGAGCTTTTGATTCTTTTCATTCGAGAATGTGTGGATAGATGCATCTTTTGTGAATTGTGTATTCGTGCAGCTTTCTCCATGTGGTGCTCCAGGAACACATGACCTTCCACGCGAAGTCTTTCCATTAGTAATTGCTGCAGCAGTCTCTATGCTTGTATAGTGACTTCGATGTGCGCCATTTCGACCATCATAACTATGACGTCACATTTTGTCATTTCAGTGTCGCGCTGAAATCGTGAAATCACTCAACTTTGACATACAATTTTCTGTACTTATACTTTAAGTTTCCATTTCAAACTTTTACAAAGTTTTTACGACACTATAATTTATTTGTAAACATTGAAATCTGGCTGCATAAGACCTTTAATAGACTGCTAGCGCATCCGTCCAGTCAGTCACCTTACATGAGGTAGCAGACTTGATTAGCAGAACAGAGAATGTTTTGTATATTTATTCATTATTGTGACTAGATGTTTAGGATGCTAAGTCTCATGCGTTAATGCTCGGCCCACATTTTAGTTATGGTCATCAAATTCATCACCTTAATCATTATAATAATGATGATTGTCAATTATCATTCATAAATTTTATCATCTTCAGCGCGAATGTCATAGAAACATTTATTATTTATCTAGCCTCAATTACAATGACAAAATTTCTGATTTGTTTGTTTGAGTTCACGGTATGACACGAATTCAAATGTTTATGAAATAACGCCAGAAAAAACGGGCAAAATACATAAAAGCTAGTAGTTAATCGTTAATTTTATTATTATTAGCGCGATTCTCGTGGAAACATTTACTATTAATCTAGCTTCAAATACAACGATAAAACTTTTGATTTGTTAACGCCAGAATAGAATATACAAGGCCAGAAATAACGCCAGAAAGAGCGAGCAAAATACATAAGAACTAAAAGTTTTCAACATTTTACATACCACATGTATCTTAAAAGTCAATTGACGATCAAAACTTTGCTCAAACTACAGATGTTAAAATTCGTTAAAAAATTGTTAAAAATCTGACTTCTAATTGCAAAGTCATGAATGAAAATCGTCTTACAGGTCATTGATAATTTCAAGCCATTTCATTCTTGAAAATAAATGACAATCCAATTATTTTAAACTGGCCTTCTTAAGACAATTTTTACGTCTTTCGGCAAGTCATTGTATGTTTTTGTGTATATGTAATAGGTTTCTTTGGCATTTAAGCTCAGATTCAAGATTCACAACTGGTAAAAACATGTGCAGCCTTAGAGGGATACATCTTACAAAAGTATTGTGCTGTCCAAGAAACACCTTAGCTTTCATAGTAGGCGTAATCTGCCAGAAGATGGTAGTTGTATTGAAAGATGAATCAGTATTTATGCCAAAATATCTTTACCAAATAAGGGAAGATTTTATACTCTAAATACTGAACATCTATTTTCTCATTCTATTGTTAGTCGCTGAGCAAGTCTTAAAAACCAACGTCTTGTTTTTCCTTTCTCCCTTTTAAGCTCTAATTCTTTGTCATCCATCCATTTTTCAACCTTCGTAATTTCATTTGCGAAGATTTATCTCATGTTTGTAGGGTGTTAATGGTAAGGTTTGCCTATTGGAATTTCATGCGTCTTTGTTCGCAATATAAGATTCATACCATATTTGGTCGCATTATGATAATACTGCTTAGTGTTATGCTAACGATGAATAATGGATGCGGCAGTTGGCAACTCTAATTATTGATAATAATGATTTTCTTAAAACTCGTGCATTTTATTTATTTTTACTTACAACTGCACTCCTCACTTTAAGAGAAAGAATGCAAAAGACTTTTCTGGTGTTTACTTGACTCCATGAATGATTACTTCTATTTTAAAATTCTATTGATCTGGGTCAGTATATCTCTTATTGATAGAGCAGAAAATGCAACAGGTGCCTCGAAAGAAGATTTTCATCGATTCAATGAAGATTCTGCTACTCAAATGTATACTGTCGCCATCCTCATTGGTCTTTTATGAGTTAAATTTCGGTGCTCACCAAAATGGAGCAAACGTGAAGCATCGTTTTGGTTTGATAGAACAATACCATTGTTTTGTTTAGCCAATAATAAGCGGGACAATGTGCCTTTAGACTTTTGTCAATTCCAATTTTTTTCGTGCAGTTTTACCAAATATAATTCCAACTATTCTAACTACCTAAGGCCTCCCAAAGAAAAGTTTATCGATATTATATTATGTTAGTCAGTACCAAAGCCATTAATTTGTATTCTTTTTTTTAAGTTTCTTACAACTCATAGCTGTATGCCACTTCCGATGCTCCCAATTGAAGCAGTATCGGGTATTTACTGGCATATATTAAGTAAGAAAAGGAAGTACGCATGCTTTCTTAAGAGACTCGACAGTCTCTTTGAGCAACCAAGAACCGAACCGAACCGAACCGAACCTCTTTTCCTTCCGAACCTCTTTTCCTTTTACACTACCTCCCACATGCATTGTCATTGAAAGCCTAATTGCTGGTCCTAGTTCAGCTTTAGGTCCTTAATCAGTC